CTGTCAGAAAGTATAGTAAATGTAAAAGCGCAAACATTGAATTGCAGACAAAGCATAGAAGACCCAACCACATAACAGTTTACAGGGGACATATTTTAAATTTAAGGACACAGGTGAGTAAGATAAAAAGAAGTGGGGGGAGTATCATGCACATATTTAAAAAAAAATGAAACCTGGTTTGGATATACTTACGTGGGAAAAAACTGTAAGGCAAGAANAAAAAAATAATGCTAACCTAGAATTCTTAATCCAGTGAACAAAGCCAACAAAAGGGAAGGCAAAATAAAGACAGGCTGAAGCTGAGAAAATGTATTGTGAATAGACTGGCAGTAGGAAATACTAAAGGAGGTTCTTCAGGTTGAAAGAAAATTATGCCAGATAAAAGCAAAGACCTACAGAAAGTATTGAATGACTGTAAGGATAAATGTGAATATATGTAAAGTAATTCTGACTGTTTAAAGTAGTATCTGTGGATGGTGGGNACAGAAAGTATTGAATGACTGTAAGGATAAATGTGAATATATGTAAAGTAATTCTGACTGTTTAAAGTAGTATCTGTGGATGGTGGGGTTTAAAATATGTGGAAACAATATATGACAAGTGTAGAGCAAAAGGCTGTAGGGTGGTAATATGTCAAAAGTGCACTTGTAATCTCTAGAGTAACGACTAAGTGAAAAATAAAAGAATATATAGCTAAAAAGCTAGTAGAGGAGAAAATGGGATAAAATATAATTGATTACCCCAAAGCAGTTCAACAAGAGAGAAATAAAGGAATACAGAACAGATGGGACAAACAAAACAAATGACAGAATGGTAGACTTAAACGCACCTGTCTGTAAGTATAGTAAATGTAAAAGCGCAAACATTGAATTGCAGACAAAGCCTAGAAGACCCAACCACGTAACTGTTTACAGGGGACATATTTTAAATTTAAGGACACAGGTGAGTAAGTTAAAAAGAAGGGGGGGGGGAGTATCATGCACATATTAAAAAAAAATGAAACCTGGTTTGGCTATACTTACGTTGGAAAAAACTGTAATGCAAGAAATATCACTAGAGATAAAGAAAGGTATTGTATGATGCTGAAAGGATAAATTCAACCAAAAGATAATGTTAAATTTTTTTATGTATCTAATAATCCGGGTCTAAAACACAAAAAGGAACAAAAGACAGAACTACAAGATTAAAACAGACAAAACCATAACCATAATAGATTAATGTACCTCTTTAAGTAACTAGTAGAACATGCAGGAAAAAACCAAGGATCTAGATTTGAACAACACAGCCAACCTGACCTGGGTACCACACATAGAACACTTCACCCAGCAACTTCAGGATATACATGGTTTGCAAGTATGCATGCAACAGTTACTAAAATATACCATATGCTGTACCATAGAGCAAATTTCAGTAAATTGAAAGAAATGAAATCACAGATAAATTGACGTAAGTGGTAATCAGCTATAAATCAATAACATAACTGAAAAATCCTCAAGTAGGTGCAAATTAATATTCTTTTACATATCTTATGCGTCAAAGAAGAAATAGCAATAAAAATTGTAAAACGTGTTGAACTAAATAATAAAAATATGTCAAAACTTGTGCAGTTGCAGCTAAAATTAAAGCTTAGGTTATATACACCTTTAAATGTGTATATGAGTAAAAATAAAATGGAAAGTTCTATTTTGAGACAATAGGGGAATAATCAAATTATAATAAAATAGAAAAAATGAAATAAAGGCAAAAGCAAATCAATGAAATAAAAAGCAGACGTATGATTTTTTAAAATGAAATAATTGCAAAGCTTAGTGTAATTCATAAGCTTCTAGAAAGACTGATTCAAAAAGCTTCTACAAAGACTGATTAAACAACAACAAAAAAAGAAAACAATTTACCAATATCAGGAAAGTTAAAGGAGACATCACTATTAAAGGAGACTAAAGAGATGGAACAAGTAAATGCAAAATGTAATCCTGGATTGATTTGTAGTAGAGGGAAAGAAAATGCTATAGAGGACATGATTAGGACAGTTCATAAAATTATAGTATATTCTTTGAAGATTTGTATTAATGTTAAATTTCCTGAATCTG